GCTGGTTATAGGACCCAAGGTTGTTTTTAATTTATGCCAAGAGGTGGTGCTGGCTGTAGGAACAGAGGTTGCCCTGGTTATAGGACCAGAGGTTGTACTGGCTGTAGGACCAGAGGTTGCCCTGGTTATGGGACCAGAGGTTGTGCCAGATGAAGGACCTGAGGTTGCACTGGTTATAGGACCTAAGGTCGTTTTCAATTTATGCTGAGAGGTGGTGCTGGCTATTGGACCATGTGTTGTTTTGGATGAAGGAGCAGAGGTTGTGCTAGTAATCGGAATAGGGCTATGAGTAGTTATAGGACCAGAGGTTGCCCTGGTTGCATGACCCGAGGCTGTGCTTGCTGTAGGACCAGAGGTTGCCCTGGTCATAGGACCTGAGGTTGTGCTGGCTGTCAGACCAGAGGTTGCCCTGGTTGTATGACGTGAGGTTGTGCTGGTTGTAGGACCAGAGGTGGCACTGGTTGTATGACGTGAGGTTGTGCTGGTTGTAGGACCAGAGGTGGCACTGGGTATGGGAGCAGAGGTTGTGCTGGTTACAGGACCCAAGGTTGTTTTCAATTTATGCTGAGAGGTGGTACTGGCTATAGGACCATGTGTTGTTTTGGATGAAGGAGCAGAGGTTGTCCTAGTAATCGGAATAGGGCTGTGAGTAGTCATAGGACCAGAGATTGCCCTGGTTGTAGGACCTGAGGTTGTGCTGGCTGTAGGACCAGAGGTTGTGCCAGATGAAGGACCTGAGGTTGTGCTGGTTATAGGACCCAGGGTCGTTTTCAATTTATGCTGAGAGGTGGTGCTGGCTATTGGACCATGTGTTGTTTTAGATGAAGGAGCAGAGGTTGTCCTAGTAATCGGAATAGGGCTATGAGTAGTTATAGGACCAGAGGTTGCCCTGGTTGCATGACCCGAGGTTGTGCTTGCTGTAGGACCAGAGGTTGCATGCACTGGTCATAGGACCCTGAGCATCGATGCTTAGCCGTCAGCCAGCAGTTGCCCCTGTGTAATGATGTGACCAAGTGTCGCTGGTTGTAGACCAGACGTTGCTCTGGCGTTGAGTATGACGGTGAAGTGTGCGAGGAGGACACAGGCAATTTGGCCTGGTTGTATGACGTTGAGCTTGTGCTGGCTTGTAGGACCGGGTTGGCCCTGGTTGTACGAAAGAGGTCTCTGATACGCACTGTTATTAGAGGACCCAGAGGTGGGCACTGGTATTGGAGCAGACGTTGTGCCTGGTTACAGACCCAGGGTCGTTTTCATTTATGCCCTGAGAGGTTGTCGCTCGGCTATCGGACCATGTTTTTTTGGATGAAGGACCAGAGTCTGTCCTAGTAAATCGAGAATACAGGGCTAGTGAGTACGTTACAGGACCAGAGGCTTGTTCTGGCTGTAGACCAGACGGCTTGGTGCCACGATGAAGACCCGAGGTTGATGCTGTATACAAGGACCACAAGTCGTTTCCCAATTAATGCCTGAGAGGCCTGGTGGCTGGCTATCAGAGCCATCGTGTTGTTTTGGATGAGGAGCAGAGGCTTGTCCTTTAGTACCGCCGTAATAGGGCTGTGAGTAGTTACAGGACCAGAGGTGGGCACTGGTGTGCCGTAGCGCGGGACCACAGAGGTTGTGACCAGATGAACGACCTGAGGTTGTGCTGGTACTAGGACCCAGGTTCGTTTTCAATTATGCCGAAGGCTCTGTACTCACTGCAGGACCAGAGTCGCGTGCTGTTTGGGCGAGGAGGCTGCTGGCTGACGCCCACAGAGGTGGTGCTCGGTTTCTGCCCAGACGAGGAGCCTGAGCGGGCTGGTGCGCTCCTCACTTCGGGTGCTGAGGAGCCGTTGGACCCGGGGCGGTGGCGGGGAAGCAGCCGTCCGGGGTGGCGGCAGCACAGCAGCGGCGAACCTGGTAAGTCTGAGGCACAGCTGCGCGGCTCCTCCTGGTCACTGGTTCCTGCACACCAGGCC